CAGAGGGAAGTGCTTAAATTGTGTTTATCTTGAAACCGCCCAATATTAGGTCATTAAGCCGAAGAAAAATAGCGAAATGATTTTGGCCGATGAGTTTGTTTTAGCGAAACACAAAAAAAAAACAGAAGGAAATACGAAGTCAAGGTTAACTAGCGTGTAACGCACCACCGGTGCTTCGAATTTTCGACAACTCAAAAAACTTATTCTTTGAGTGTACTCTGACAGCACCTAGTTACAGGGTTCGTTATTACAAATTTTGCAAAGTTTTTTACTCAGGTTTTTATACAAATTTTGAAGAACCATAAAATTTTGTGAAGTTTTATATAAGTTCTTCGAAAAATTTAAAATGAACTAAGAAACGTCACATCTGGGAAACTGAAAGCAATTGAGCAGTCGCATTTGGACGCAAGATTTGCAACTCCTGAGAGTACTCTTACAGTACCCAACTACAACGGTGGGAAATTCAAATTTTGAGAAACTTCCCCTTAAGTTTTCTACAAAAAAGGTATTCACATCTCGAAAACTACCAAATTTTGAGCAATCACAAAAATCGTCGTATCTCTTAAGCAAAGATGTTTTGGGCATTCTTAATTAGAGACCAATTTTGCAACCCCTGAGATTACTCTAACAGCCCCCCAACTACAGGTTAGGAAACTCAAATAAACTAAGAAACTTTGAAAAAATATATAATTTAATTTCCATGAAAACGTTTTTGAAAAAATCACAAAAAACGTCATATCTGGAAAACTACAAGGATTTGAGCAGTCAAATTGTGAGGCAAAACTCGCAACTCCTGAGAGTACCCTGACAGAGCCTCACTACAGAGATGAAAATTTCAAGTTTTGTGAAATTCTTTATACTTAAGTTTTCTCAAAAATTTTTAAAAAAAACCTATATTCCGAGGCAAGTTTCGCAACCCCCTGAGAGTACCCGCACAGATTTTAAAACAGGATTGAGATCTTCAAACTTTTGTAATTTTTTAACATTCAATTTTTTTTTTAAATTTCGGAAAAAATCATAAAAAACGTCATATCTCGAAAACTACAAGAATTTGAGCAGCCATAATCAGAGGCAAGATTCGCAACCCTTGAGAACACACTCACAAAATCCAACAACAGGATTGAGAACGTTTTGGTAATTTTCAAATCTAAGTTTTTGAAAATTTTTTGAAAAAATCAAAAAAAAATGTCATATCTCGATATTTACAAGTGTTTGAGAAGTGAGAATTGGAGGCAAGATTTGCAACCCCTGAGAGTACTCTGACAGCACCCAACTACAGGGTGAGAATTTCAAAAATTGAGAAATTTTTCTAAAATAAATTTTCTAGAAATTTTTGAAAAATCTCGTAAACTAGAACGATTTGGTTATTCATATATGAAGGCCAGAATCGCAAAACTTGGAAAAACTCTGGCATTATCCTACTATTGGGTTGCTTATTTCAAACTAGATGAAATAATCACTGAATTTAAACTGGAAAATCGAAAAAAACCATTGCAATATACGATACAGCTTAAACGTGAAAAAATTCTGTTGTTAAACATGCAAAAATAATACGTTGAAAAAGCTCAAACACGGCGAGATAGTGAAGCCCGCATGTAAATATATAATAAATAAAAGCTAAAAAATTAGGCGACGGGTAGACAGACATGATCAAATTAATTTAAAAAGCAGGCACACAGACAGACTGACATAATTTAACCTTGAAAAATAAATACTGAAAAATTAATGAACTTGTGGAAAACAAATTGAAAAATTTTCTTAAGCATTGCAATATACGATATAGCTTAAACATGAAAAAATTCGTTCGTTAAACATGCAAAAATATTATGCTTAAACATGAGAGATAGCTGTCACTCTCATTTAAATATAGTATAGATAGATAAAATTTTAAAATGTAGGCGTAAATCAAACACTAGAAACAACATTTAAGAAGAATGTGCGCAGAACAAAAAAGAATTCCAAGATGTGACTACTAAGCCGATAACAGATAAGCAGACAAATAATTGGCCCACAGTTTTATTTGAAACAGAACCTTTTCCATTTTAAGAAAAACAGGTCCTGGTGCATATTCATTAACTCCAGGCTAAGTTGGCCAGCAACGCTAAACTTGAATACAATATGAAGCAAGGAAGCTAAAAGCCTAGATTTGCCATTGTTTATAAGCAAGAAAACTATCGACTGAACATATTATTGTTTACCAAAATAGCATTATTCTGAAATAACCCCAGATGGTAAAAATGACCATTCTGTGAACCACGTTTATATCAAGAAAATAAGCCACCTAGCCAGTTACAGTAATTATGATGATTGTAAGGATACAACTCGACCTTCTAAAGCGCATTACTTGCAACGTGCTTGATCTGTGCTGGTTGCTTCAGGCTGATGCAGTATTACCTAGCCCAGAAAAATAAACAAAAAAATGCATGCAGTTCTTAACAAGGGGCACAACAGCGGTTCTCCGTGATGAGCTGAACAGCTCTTATGTGGCTGCTTTCCCTTGTGGATAAATTGTCTCAACAGAATCGTAATAGAACCCGATGTTTTTCTCAAAAAAACTCATTTAGATGAAAACCTGTAGTAAAACAAATTGAACAGCTTTGAATCAGCATTTAAAAAATTACTGAATGGTAACTATGCAAACAGAAGTTAGCTGAACGCCTATTGAATTGGGAAAAATGGCCAAAAAATGTCCATACGTGGATTTGAAAATACTTTAAAAAACTGTCCTTAAAAAAGGACAAATTTCGTTTCGATTGGCCAACAATTCGAATCGATTTGCAAGAAAAGGTCTCCTCAGACAACACGAATAATTAGGACAACAAGCTGCTAAGACCTAAGTCCAAACAGACAAAGATGAAAAAAAATTCGAAAGAAAAATGCTGCCGAAAATTGTCGTCTTTTTCGTTTTCCTTCGATGGCAGAGAGTTTTGATGAATTAAATGAACACTAACATTACTCAACCTGCCTAAACTTGGTTTGTACATGGAAAAAAATAAACATAACGAGATGAAAACATAAAGTGCACTAGAGACAAATAGCGAAAACAATTTAAAAAATTCTGAAACTAACGAGCAAACAAAATATGAATGAAAATATTCTCAAGGTGTTTTCTAATCTGTTAGCATTGAAGGCCTTCTAAACCCGAGTTTTTTACTGAAGAAAGTTATCGTTTTACGATAAGCGTTAGCACTAGAAAGCAATTGAGCCATAACAAAAAATCAATTGACAAAAAACTGATAGAAAATTAAATCAATAAAATTGCTTGTAAACTTATGACTCTAATTACCTTCGCCGAAATAACATCAGAAAAGCAGCCAGCACAAGAAGTACTGAGAAAAAAAATCAAATAAAGCTTTATTGGAAAAAGAAAATAACGAAAAACTTCCAAGATTTTTTAAATACTATGTCAAAGTTGAAAAATTATCAAACAACGACCGGACACTAGAAAAACATTAGGTAAACAAGCCGACAAAACTAAATTCGACAATTATTTAGTTGAAAAGCAGCTGAATTTTTTTTATATATATAACAGCTGAATATATATAAATTTAGCCTGATTGTTCATTGAATAAATCACCTGACGAGCTCAAACCAGGCAAATGAATTCTATGAGAAAAAAAAAGAATAGGGAACTTTTTTACACGGTAGCACTTGCATTTAATTTTTCATATCTTTGCAATCAAAAAATCAAGTTTTCAGAAAGTTAAAGACAAGACTTGTTAGCTAGTTTTTGCAAAGACCAAATACAAACATACACAAAAACGATCTAAAAATGACAAAAGAAAAGAATTTCAGACAAAAATTAAAATAAATATCACCTAAGTTATGTGCGACGCAATGACTTGCGCATAACTGATACATGGAGAGAATTGAAAGTGTTTAAAGCATTTTCAATTTCTCGAACAATTTATGATTAATTTAAATGATTTTTGAGAAAAATAACCCAATTTGAGAAAACTGGATCAATAGGTAAAATTTCGCTGCAAAATCTGATAATTAAATTCCAAAGTCTTTCGTGACTTTTAAATCTCGCTGGTCAATAGTGGAGTTTACCTATTAACAAAAAAAATGAAATGATCCTGAATAGAAATCAAAAGTCAAACCGCGAAAAAGTACATTTGAGCCTGAAAAAGTATTTTTTACAATAAAAAACGAAAAAAAAAACATAATTACGACCTACATTAGAGTCTGAACTACGTTTATCGACTCTTACCTAGTTGTGATTTTGTTAAACTAGTTGTTAATATGAATTGAAATTACTCGTTGAGTTAGAACAAGTCATCTTAAACACCATGTCATCAGAATGCTCTAGCCTATTTAAATCAAAAATTCCTATTCTTAAAAAATTAAACACAGAGGCAAAGCTTCGCTTCGTAAAAATTAAACACAGAGGCAAAGCTTCGCTTCGTAAACACTAGCGAGAACACAAAAAAAGCATCTCTAGAAAACGCAATAAGAAAAAATAGAAATAAGGCTAGAACTAGCAAAAATTCGGCTAGTATAAGATTCGATCTGCGACCTATTGCACTCAAGAGATTTTGTGTCTCACGCACGAACCACTCAGCCACGCACGCTCAACCACACACAAACACTAGTCACGAGTAAAGCAGCTACATATGCTAATAAAGTGCCAATGCCATTCAGCAATTGCCAATTCCATTCGGCATCCACACTAACTTTGCATGTAACAAATCGCAAGGCAAAGTCACATTATTTATAAATTATGCATTTCAGAAAATTTCTAGATACATTGAGTTTGAAAGTTTCCGAAATCGAGTTTTTATGATATTAGAAACAAATAGCTTTTTTCGGTTCATTTGATGAATTATGAATGCATCAACTGGTTAACTTATTAGTATTCGAATGTCAAAGCACATGCTATCTAAAAGCTGTAAAGGTGACCCAAAAGTGGCACCAATATATTTTTTTCTTGCGACTTAGGCTAGAAAAAAAGAAGGCTCGTAATAATACACTAAGCTGATGCTAGTGTAAACAAAAAATGTGAGTTAATTTTGATTATGAGCAAATCACGAAGCATTAATAGAGACTTAAACGCAATTTGAAGTCTAATAAATGTATCTTCATTTTAAGTTTGAATAAATTCACAGTTTTATAATCTGACTGAATCATTGAACAGAGTTTGAATCTCCAATTCCACTGATATGTCCCTAACTATCTTTTCCAGAACCAAATTGTCCATTAGATCGATAGAGAAATCGGGATAGCTTTTCGGCCACTGAGTCCAGTTTTTGAAGGACCTGTGCAGTCTTAGAACATAAGAGCAGAACAGATACTTCAGAATAATCATTCTGAGAAACTGGTCCGACATAAAACACAGAATATGAAAATGAATCTCTTTCGATTTATGGCAGAACTTTGCAGCTTCGAGGTAGAACGTTTTCAGAATTACCGTACAATTTGAGTGCTGTTTTTCCGAAATGTCTTCAAGGCCGCATACCTTACACAATCCCATGAGAGGGTCGGCCAGAAATAGAGTCAAAAGTCCCCCTGCGTTTTCCATGCTGTCTTCAACAGCTTGGGGCATGAATTGCGGAGCTATTATGCACATAAACGGCTCTCCAAACCAGTTTGGGATCTGTAAAAAAGGGAGTCCGTTGCTGCTTTCGACTATAAGAAACAAAGGTTTCCTGGTGTATGGAAACAGGTCTCCGGGGTATAGGCAATTTACATCGTTGATATGTAGTCTGCGGTTATTTAGACCAATACCTGGACCTGCGGCTAAGTTTGATTGCGATTTTGATCCACTTTCGCTTCTGCGGTTGGTAGCTACTCCCCCACAGCCGTAAGATATCTCCCCTCCCATGTCGGCATGGACTCCCGACTCCTCGCCTGATATGTACACCACAAGACACTGTTTGTCTTTGAGTTCCTTGAAGGCGCTACTCAAGTAATTGTTCAGCGACGATATACTTGGCTGATACAACAAGTATTTCACGGGGTTGTCTTGTTGTTCATGAGGTCGAGCTTGTTTCTGATTCTGTAGAGTAGATTTCTCGACTACTAATTTGTTGGCAGCTGGCGCATCGCCAATTGAGTTTGATTTGTCAACTATCTTCTCCACTTTCTCCAACTCGAAGCACGTTACTATGCGGAACATGTCAATCGAGAGATCGTTGAATTTCACCTAAACATTCGCAAAACAATATTTCTTCACGGTTAAGCACGGCTTTAATATGGGTCAACATGACTGTAATTGGTGCCGGGAACAATTTTTTGGATCCTGAGTCATTCAGTAAGTAGTCTCACAGAAAAAACTTTCGAATCAAGACTGATCACTTAATTACAAACATAATTGATTTTCATGAACATAGTCAACAGTTAGTTGGAAAAGAGCTAACAGACACCGAAAAAAAAAAATGATTATTTCCAAAAAAAACACGGCCATTCCTCATTGACACTTAACCGCATTAGTGTTATGTTGAGAATTGATTAAAAAGTAGACAAACCTGTCCCATAGCGTTTCCAACCACCACAGCTGTTCCGATGGTAATCTTGACAGGCAATTGCTGTTCTATGTTAGGTACATCCTCATGGCTAAGCCTCAGCACGGGGTCCAAATGAATAGGGTTTCCTTGTTTGGTCGTCTTAGAGGAGATTATCTTCACAAGTGCTACTTTCTGATTGAACGTCTGCAGCTCTGAGCACACAATGGCCCACTCTTCTTGATTTTCTTCCAGATACACGCTCGAAAACTGGGCCACAAAATGAAAAAACTCCTTCATGACTTCTAGAACTAGCTGCATCCTTCCCAACAGGAGAATAACAACTAAGTAACGCGTGTAGAACCGAAGCTTCTTCAGCATTCTGTACGAAGTTGGCTCGCCCTCTACATCTTTGAAATAGTTTCGGAGTCGCAAAGCGTTGTAGAAGTTGAAGCTTTCTTGCAAATACGAAACATCAGATGTTCTGATGTAGTACTGGTAGTACAGTTGACCAACTTTAGAGGCAATTTCTCCAATCTCGCTCCTGCGTAATCCTCCTTTCTCCACTAGAACACTCCTGTGCCTCTGTTGCATTTTCCAAACTAAGTTATGGATCTCGAAAGTTTTCCCAAACTGGATCTTCCAGGCGTCATGGCCATGGGGTGGTATGTCTTTTAGGGCATGGAACATGTATCTGGATTTCTCCAAGTTTTCCCGGAAATTTTCCAATATTTCAGCGACCTCGTTGGACGACAACACATGACTTTTCTTTGTTTCGTGTTGAGCACCTAATTCGTCGTCTGTATGATTTGCCGCACTGTCATGGGCCCATCTCGATGCTCCTTTTACTCCATGATCTAAACCACCATGGCCTGAAACCATAATGGCAATGTTTTTGAGTGAGCTATCAAAAAATGGAGCAAAGCTTGATATGATGTGTTATAGAAGCGAATAATATTCATCAAATTAGAGACAGACTAAGTTCCAATGGAGCGTGAAAAAATTGGTTTCTAATGGGGCAATTTGTCTCAGTTACCATTGCAATTATCTGCCCAGCAAACAACATAAATCATTTGAAACTCACCAGTCAACAGCGAGTCGCTAAAAATCTCTGCGCCAACAACTTCATCTCTAAACGATGTTTTCTTTTTCTTTTTCATTTATATGTGCTTAGATTAAAAACAATGCTTTGAAAATGTCTAGAAAACTAACGAGCAAAAAGCAGCTCTAAATCACGGTATGATTTATAAGACCAATTAAAATGCTTGCTATTCAGAACAAAATACAACACATTCAATAACACGATTTTTGATTAATAAGTAAAATATTACAAGTGCCCGTTCGTTTAGGTGAAGCAGGAGCTGTGTTTAAATGAGCAATGTTTATGAAAAAAGACATATAGAAGGCGGAAAATATCATGGTAAAAAAGTTACATTAAGCGTTCTCTCTCACATCGTCAATTAAGAAAATGGAATTGAATGCACTTTAAGTAGTCAAAATGCACAAAATATGAAAGAAACCATATCGCTGCAGGGCTTTTTAATTTAAAAAGAGTTCAATTAAAATGGGCCCCTCCGTCATGCGACGTTCCGTGCTCAGGTTGGATAGGGCCATACCAACGCTACATAAATACATCGGCAAACTTTTATGAATAAATCAAGTCGATTTTAAAGCATCCAGGAGATAATTGTCAATTAAAATCTACCCTCCTCGATTATAGCACAGATGGAATAAAAAAAACGTAATATTTCTGAACCCATGTGCCTTCCGGTAAAAACAATAAAACAACACTGATTTTCCTGCAGTAGGTAGCCTTCATTTTCATTTTCCCTTTTTGACGAAAATCATTGACTTGTAACAGTTACCTTTCGATCAAGTGTCGCGTCATATTGAAACCCCATTGGCCTTGATTGGGATTACAAACAACTTAAAAATGGCTAGTTCGAGAAAATTAGGTCACACAAAAATGGTTCTGTTACCTCATTTTAGATTTCATTTTACGAACAAAAAAAACATTTAGAATTTTGAAAACCTAGATCAAATTGTTCTAGGTTTTTTACAGTCTTTATAAAGAACTTAATACAACAAACTGAAAATAAATTGATTTTTTTTGAACTTATGTTTTTCAATGAAACTTAGTTTTGACAAAACTTCTAAAAAAAAAATTCAAATTCAGAATGAGAACAATTTTTTTCGAAGTGGAAAAACAATCTAAATTCAAAAAAAAGAACCAAACCTCGTAACAAATGTCAGCATCAAGATACCAGTAATATAATCATGTGCTGGGCCTTGAATGATTACATGTATTTACTGGAACGCATGAAATGTTGATCTAAATTTGAAAACAGTTACTTCAGAAGAGAAAGACTATTGATGACATCCACTAACAATGAACATCCTTTCGTGACCATGCTATCGATAATATATCAAAAATGCTAGAGGAAATTATTTTCTGCCCAAAAATGCACTAAACAGATAATTTCTGATCTATAGGCTTCTCAGCCTCTGTCGATCAGCTCCTTCTGTGGACGTCCAATTCGTCATTCGAGAAAGAATGTATCATACATGTCGTTTTCCCAGTGTTTATCCAGCCTCGATTTGAACAAGTTGATGTAAACGCTGGAAATTACAGACAGACTCTGGTAGTGAGTTCCTATCGTTTATGGCTGCTAGTGAAGAAACTATTTCGTAAACAAGTTCGTGACTTTCTTGTTATCAATTTGCACGGATTTAAAGAATTGATTTTAAACGTGAACCTCACTAGTCGTACGCCATCAAGCCAGTTTTTTTCAATTTTCTCGAACTTGTTCACTTTTTGGTTACTCTCTACTAGCTATGACATTTGCCTAGATGGGTGGGTATTCACAAGTACCAAAATGGTAAATCAGTCAAATTTGTACCAAAATGAAGAGTCAGTAGCGTTAGTACAAAAAATATTCAATTGGCCAAAGACTATTAAGCCAAACATTTTAAGCTCTTGGCTTAAGGTCACCGGTGGGCGCGCTACGCGCGTCCACGCGATAACCAGCTCTAATTTTTGTATAGAGTCCTACCCTCTGTTGGCAAGCTCGCAACACGTTGGCGCGACTGCGGCGGTCACTATTCTGCTGTTGAGTTTTCTTTAGTTTGAACAGAAAATTAATGTAATAATTCGTTGGCTCAAATTCGACCACTTAGAAATCGAGTTGAATAATTTTGGTACAAAACGGACTTTCATTTTATTAAAATTGAACCGTGGTACAATTTGGGACTTCACCGCCCAGATCCTCCACAAAAAGTTGCTCAAATTAAGGTCAACCTTATACAAAACACGTTTTTTTTCGATAGCACGACCCACGAATATACTTGATAATCTTCTGAGAAAAATAGAAAAGTCCGAAAATACCGCCCGAAAGTACATATCGACGGAAAAACAAGCTACTTTATGAAACCACTGGCTAGCGTCTAAACAGAGCTTCACATGCTTTTAACCCTCTGTAGCAAAGACAGTTAATGTAGGGTTCTCATAACATCGGGTCGTCGAAATCGTTACAACTCAAGAGCTATCGGCCAATCCGCTCAACTTAACCAAGTTCCATGAAAAATAGTAAGGTCATGGCTGTGTCTCGGTATCTCCAGACCACGAGGTCACTCTTAAAAACAGGGCTACTACTTAATTATCTGTAACTATTGTTTCTGTTCAGTAGATAGTATCAGTTTATCCATCGGAGAAGGATCGACCCTTTCCCTCAACTCCTAGCTTCTCATAATCTGAAAATGAATTCGATGTTAAGTTGAACTCTAATCAGGCCATTCCGGGAAGCTCAAAATTGTTTAAAAGCAGTTGAGAGTTGTTCTCCGGTACCCTTCCGGATTCCTGAATCCGCCTGAAGAAGCGTCTTCTTCACGAGCAGGAAGGGTAGCGAATAATAATAATCATAATAACAAAGGATTTAGGAATATAATCCAAGGGTTCGCATAAAACCCAGTCATTGCATTGTTCAAAGTTTAGTTTTCAGTTATAAGTGTAAGTTTCTTCAGGTCTCTACAGTTGTTGCATTCGCATAAAATGCGCCAAGTGCATGTGTCTGATTCGTTGTAGCGAGTTTTGAAAAACTTTGTGTACATTCCTAGAAGTCTGTTTTTGCATTCTGGGTCAAACAATATGTCACATTTGAAGTATTCGTTGTACAGATTAGCAAGACGACATGCCCGAAACCAGAAATCCGACTCGCACTTCTTCAGACGCATTTGTTTGCAGACGAAATTTAGTGTCAACTTTTCCAGCTAGTATTTTTGCAAACAGCAGTCCAACATGAAGCTCTTGGTATAGAGACATAGGAAGGATGTTAAGTTTCACGAGTTTGTCTTTATAGGAGATTTGGCTATTGCTTGTCATGAAAATCCACGAGATCGCTTTCCGCTGCACACTTTCTATGATTCCTAAGTCACCTTTTGATGGTTTCCAGATAGCTGAACCGTAGCACAGAATTGGCACAACGTAACAGATATATGCGTTTTTTCTGGTCGCGAAATTCGCCTTTGAGAGATTCCTTTTGAGTACGAAGAGAGCGTTTAAGGCTTTTTCAGCCCTCTTTTTTGCGTGTTGCGTCCAAGAGAGCGTGTCGGTTATCGAATACTCACATCGCGAGATTTGCTCTGTAACGATTGTGGCTGCACAACCGTTACAACTCGGAGCATTCTTCTTCAAATACTGATGATTCTAATTTTGATCGTCTTCTATGTCTGTCGCACGTCTATTCGTTACCAGCGAAAATCGTTCTTCTTATTTTCTCTCTCAGTTGTTGCGAAAATAAAAATTGTTACGTGTCCTGCATGCTCAAAACGAAATTTTTAAATAATTATGGCAGTCCAAGTTGAACGTTTCCAGTTCTTGCATTCTAATAAATAAGAGTGCTAATCGTCGAAATCAACATATTTTCCACAAAAACTGCTCGAACAAAAATTTCGTCGTGATCTACCTTTTCAGATCATTCTGGTCGAATGACACAAGTGTTGCAAACTGGTATGGCGTTATCGGCGCTGATACTGATCATCATCGAGTTCGTAAATATAGGCAACGACGATATTAAGGAGTTATTGTTGTTCATAGAGATCCATAGTATGAACTCTGATAAAAAAACAGTCACCATGAAAAACGCAGAATTCACAATTAAAAAAGTTTTTCGGAAGCTGAAAATTTATGAAAAGATCGACAATCGAATTGCAAAAAAAATAAAAGGCCTTAAAAGCGAATGAAAATGACACGACAGAGCTGTAAGTAAAACTTTTTGAAGGATTAAACAGTTTTAGGTTATAACTTTTGCAGGAGTAAACAAATTAAATAGTTTAAGGTCATAATGATTTATGGGGCGACAATTGTCACCCTTTTTTCAAAAAAGGTAATCGTGATTGGTGCTAACTCATTGAACAGTGCGTTGATCAAATATCCATTTTACAAACATTCATTTTGTAATATACACCCAGAAGCTAGATTTGACAAACAAATCCTCAGCATCCTCAAGAAGATATCTCAAGGCGAACTTGTTAATCTGTCGCATGACGTCATAAACAACATTGTGCATTTTGACCAATCACCTAAAGCGAAACAGAACACCTGTCAGCAACCTAAAACCTATCAGAACTCCAAAAAACCAAAAACCAAAAGAAGACATTTTGAGCTCCTGATATATTCAAAGAACTAATGAAGGCTGAAGTCAAAATCCCCATCCTTCGCCTTACAAAAACCTTTTAAAGAGAAAATATGAAAATTCAAAAGGAAACTATACCTTATCAGAATCTTCCCATCAGACTCTTTTCCGAAATTACAACCCTGTCAATCATCAGACGTTACGATTACGACAGTTGAATGTTGACTGCTGTGTCATCCGCAACTTGCAATTCGCCAAGGAAACCATCTAGGTGTGCTCATTTTACAATCCTAAGTCTGGTCAACTCAGACAAGTTCAGACAGCTTCAGGAAAATTCATGGGGCAAAACCAAAAAAAAAAAAAGCAATTAATTGTGGAGTGTGTCAGTCGGTCATATCCTGAGACTTTATCTTGTTTTGGGGTGAAATGGAAAAATTTCATGGAAAAATCGAACTGACCATGTAATGCTCAAGCATGGATTTGTTAAAAAGCGCAGCACGTTTACACAATTGTTGGAATATGTTGAAAATATTTACAAATGTATTGATGCCAATGAAAATTTCTGTTCTGTATATTTTGACATTCAAAAGGCTTTTGAATCTGTGTCACACAAGCAGTTGCTGAACAAGCTGTCTTCTTTTGGTTTTGACGAAAATTTTATCATGTTAATTCAA